GCAGCGCTCCGCCCAGGCGCCCCCCGGCTCACACCCCATCTCCTCATACCCGCGACCCCGGTCCCGCATCGCCACTGTAGGGGAAAAACTGAAGTCCAGCGACCTCACCTGCTCCTGCTGCCAGGTCGCAGACACCACGAGGGAGCAGTCGGGGACTCGGAACTCGGACCTGCCCCAGGCTTGCCCTTCCCTGCGTCCCTTGAAGCGCAGCCTCTCGGTGTTTTTCCTCGTCTCCACCACTTCGTCCGGGTATCCCAGATACTTCAACCTGATGTATGGCTCCTTTCCTTTCTTAGTTAAGAAGCTAAGAGACGAGAGCTAGTAAAATATCTTTTAAATAGGAATGCACTTTTTTCGCTTTTTTTTTATTTTAATAGGCTGATTAAGCAGACCCTGTACTTCACTTTGGACATGATTCTGCCGAGGAAGAGTTTTAATCAGGCGGCTTCCCTAGTAAAGTTTGTATGTTTACTTAGAAGTATCCTTCCTCTGGATGTGTCATTGGACTATAATCCAGGCCTGTGTGACTTTTATGAAGTAATCTGATCTTCCAGGCTGGGAAACTAAGACAGTAGTTGACGCTCAGCTTTTTGAAGTTCATATGAAGAGGCTTTCATATTTGCATTAATCAGTAAACACGGTTACAGAGTATCCAATATATGCAAGTCACTGCCCTCTACTAAGTAGATTTGGAAATGCTAAGACAGGGATCTTAGAGTCTTGTTAGGAAAACAACTTTCTGCTTTACACAAACGAAAAGTTAAATACAACTGCCCTCTAAAAAAAATCGCAACATACATAATTGGTGATTAGATTAATAGAACAACTAATATATGCTCCAGGAATTCAGGGAGGGAGTTACTTTGTATTGAGTCTTCCCCTTCTCAGAGGAGTTTGGACTGGATCCTAGAGGAATGCAGTTTGGAAAAGTGAGCTCAACAGTATGGAGGACAGCATGGTGGAGGACAAAAGATGTTCCAGGGGACAGTTTGGCTGAAGATGGTGTTTATTGCAGGTCTGAAAAACAAGGATTAGGAGAGGAGTGGAAGGAAAGGCCAGGGATCCAAAGTCAAAAGGGAATGGCTATGGTTGATGGAATGAGAGAGAGAGGTGTGGGTCTGTTACTTAAAGTTAGGTTTACCAACAGAGGCATGAAAAAAATGTGATTATAAATATATTAGAGCAGAAGTAAATGAACTGATGTTCATCATAGCAGAAAGTCAGAAGAAACAACCAAAATTAATAAATGTAAAAATAGTATAGAAGTATATTCTTAGAGTTTGGGTTAGTGGTTAGTGTAGAAGCGTGTTCTTAGAGTTTGGGTTGTTACTGTTAGACATCGAGTTAGGAATTAGAAGGAAGTTAGGAATTCCTTGACTTTCTAGGTGGGAAAGGGTAAATGAAGTAGAGAATGCTGTGACCAAAAGCGTATATAATTTTCTGAAGAGTGATTTTAAATCAGACTGTATTTCTTGAATACAAGAGTAGTTTGAAATCAGATTGTATTTCTTGTAATCTTGAATATTAGGCCAAGGACTGTGAAATTTGCTTCGCTAAATAAGGGAGAGTTGTGGCTGGTTTTATTAAGCTGCCATGGGAGGGTACTATGAAGGCAACTGAGTGGATTGAAGAGGGCTGGAGACAGAAGTTAGGGAGAGTCCGCAGTGGACAGATGGGTAAGGGCCCAGGCCAGGCTCGGGGTCAGCGGGAGGGGGAAAGCCCAAGGGGAGGAGATGTTGGGAAGGAAAAATGACCAGATTTGGTGATTAATTAGAAATCAGTGCAAGGAAGAAGCATGCAAATATGACTAAAATATCAGTTAACTCCTGTGAAACCAAACCTGTTAGGAACTGAATGCAAATATCTTCTCTAAATATCATCATAATTTATGGCATCAGTGTGATGGTAACTGAGAATGGGCAGCAGGAAGCCCTGAAGAGCCGTGGTCTATGGCTGCAAAACTATTTGTAGATAATACATTACTGTCATGTTTTCTTATAACTTCTTGGGAAGGGTAGTATTGAGCTGTAGCTTAAAGAACTTTAGTGTGCTCCGGCCAGGCGCGGTGACTCATGCCTGTAATCCCAGCACTTTGGGAGGCTGAGGTGGGCGGATCACACCATCCTGGCCAACATGGTGAAACCCCGTCTCTACTAAAAACGCAAAAATTAAATGCGCGCACCTGTAGTGTCCCAGCTACTTGGGAGGTTGAGGCAGGAGAATTGCTTGAACCCAGGAGGCAGAGCTGAGCCAAGATCGCTTCGCTGTACTCCAGCCTGGTGATAGAGCGAGACCCCCCCTCAAAAAACAAAAAAAAAAAAAAAAAAAGAAGAACTTTAGTGTGCTCCATAGTCAATTCAAAATATTTTACTTTCTGAATGTATTAGTTGTCTATTACTATGTAACAAATTACCAGTACCTCAGGGCTTACGACAACAAACAACAAAAACAGCAAGTGTATATTCACTATATGGACTCCCACAGAATCTGGGAGCGGCTTGGCTAAATGATTTTGGCTTTCTCTCATTGTCTGAAAGGACCTGCTTCCAGCTCACCAACCACCAACTCATGTGGTTGTGGCAGGCCTCAGTGCCCTGCTGTCTGTTGGCTGGAACCTCCTTCATCCCATGAGCTTCTCCATAGGCAGCCTGAGTTGCTCATGCTATGGCAGCTGGCCACTCCCAGAGTGATCAAGAGAGAGGGAAAGCCCAAGGTAGAAACTGCAGTCCTTTATAACTTCATCTCGGAAGTGAGGTACCATTACTTCTGCCATCTCCTGATGGTCACACAGACTAACCTTGCTGACACAGAAGGGACTGCACAAGGTGTGAATGCCAGGAGGCAGGGTGCTGTCTTGCAAGCTGGCTACCACCCTGAGGCAAGGACGCTTTCTGAATTCCATGGTTCAGGAAGCACAGCTAAGGAAATAATAACTAATTAGTGTATATTTTTAAAACTGTATGAGATTTCTTTTGATATACATTGATGAGAAAGAAAAAAAACAATGTGAGCACTAAATATAATCTAGCACAAAATAAGCCTTTCTAGAACTGATTTTATTTATTTTACTCCTTTTAAAAGTAAAATTTATACTACTCAGGATTTTCCATTTGTGGATATCCAGTTGACTTATTTTACTTTTATTTTGTTTTGTTTTGTTTTGCTTTATTTTATTTTATTTTATTCTGTTTTAGAGATGGAGTCTCGCTCTGACACCAATGCTGGAGCACAGTGGTGCAATCTAGGCTCACTGCAACCTCTGCCTTCTGGGTTCAAGTGATTCTCCCACTTCAGCCTCCCGAGTAGCTGGGACTACAGGCGTGCACCACCACGCTGGGTGAATCTTTTGTATTTTTAGTAGAAACGAGGTTTCACCATGTTGAACACCAGACTGGTCTCGAACTCCAGACCTCAAGTAATCCACCCGCCTTGGCCTCCTAAAGTGCTGGGATTACAGTAGGCATGAGCCATCACGCCGGCCCAGTTGACTGTTTAGTGATGTACCAAAGCTTAGGGAAAAGCCCGAAATTTCTACTTAGGTTGATACTTTTAACAAATCTTGATTATTGACTGTTATACGGGGTCTCTCTGCTTTGATCTAGTTGTCTTTGTTTTGTGCACTTCTCATCTGTTTATGGCATTTCTGATGAAAGAGGTGTTATTTAGATTCTGTCCTCTACGTTTTTGATTGACTAAATTTCTGTTACTTTAACAGATAAAAATCTGGATAATGCCGCAGAAGCAGCTGAACAATTTAAATTAATCCAGGCAGCATATGACGTGTTGAGTGACCCTCAGGAAAGAGCATGGTGAGCATCACGCTGTCCTTCCCATCCTAGTTTATGATATTGGGAGCAATTGTCAATATAGGTGGCTTTTTTTTCAAATTTAGTACATTAAATGGTTTTTGGTGTGTCATGAAACATCTGTCACCTAGTCATCACATAAAATCTAATGTTTGGGTCAGAAGGAACCTTGGAAATGATTGCTCCAATTATCTGATTTCATAGGGGGTGAAACAGAAAATTTGGTGATATTTTATCATTTTAATTTTGATACTTTAGGTGACTTCTCATTAAATACCCTTTGGTGTATGACAGATTTACTGGTATCAGACAGGAAGAATGTTTTCTTTTTTTTTTGAGACGGAGTTTTGCTGTGTCACCCAGGCTGGAGTGCAGTGGCGCAATCTCAGCTGACTGCAACCTCCGCTTCCCAGGTTTAAGCGATTCTCCTGCTTCAGCCTCCTGAGTAGCTGGGACTACAGGTGTGTGCCATCACACACCTGTATTGTTTTTTTAGTGGGGATGGGGTTTCACCATGGTGGCCAGGCTGGTCTCAAACTCATGACCTCAAGCAATCCACCCGCCTTGACCTCCCAAGTGCTAGGATTACAGGTGTGAGCCACTGTGCCCGGCCAATACAGTGTTTTAATACAAGAATGGTAATCCTCAAAGCTACTTTATATGAATAAATTGAATTAAGTTTCTGCATCTGTGACAGATATTACTAATGATGGTCTGATCATTTAAAATAATTTCCAGATGAAAATTACTATGTTTGAAGTTCTCAGTTTTCAGATTCTCAGTTAACTTTTTGCCACAAGGAAATAGGTTGTAAGCTTTGACATAACTGTGCAAGATCCTGCTCTTACAAAGAGTTACTGTGCAAATCATCTTTCTGTTAAACAGTGTACAGCACAGGTGGCTGTCAAGAAAAAAAGGCTGTAAAGAAAATTCTTATAAAATTGTGTTTTATAAGAAAATCAGAGAGAGGATCCTGAACATTTCTCTACCAAGGAATTTGGAGATCTGGTCTTGGAATTGCTTTTGCCTTCCTCTCAGAACTTCGAAATTCTTTCCTGACTTCCTTTTGCTTAGTCTCTTCTCAAGATCTTGGGTTGTTTTCTGATCCTTGGGATTCCTTTGTCTTTTTATTGAAAGCTCTTGCCTAGTAACTGTCTTGTTACCTGGAAGCAGTACCACGTAGTGGCTAGGAGCTGGTCTTCCCAATGTAGGAGACCTGCTTCTGAATTCTGACCTTGCTGGTTACTGGTTTTATGATCAAGGATGACAAATTATGTAATATCACTGACTTCCATTTCCTCTTATATCAAATGGAGATAACAACTGCCTTTACAGAGTTATGAGAAGTAATTGTATGTGTGTGAAGCTCCTAGATTAAGTTGACATAAATATAGGAAGAGTCTTATTCTGGTGCATCTTGGTAAATTTCCAAATCACAGATGTGTAATGATTCTGTGGGCCAGATTTCCTATGTCCTGTTTTGTGTTTCTTTCCTGTGGAAGTACAGGACTCAGAGACAGTCATGGAAATTCCTTGGCTTTTTAAATTCCCCTGTTCATGTGGGCTAGCATTGTATAATGTATCAGAAGTTGCAGGCCTAGTTAAAATTAACAGTTCTGTGAAAGATTATGAACTCTTTTCATGTTAATATTTCCTTAAAAGTTTTTGGTTATGGATTGGACATATCCACAACCAAAAATGTACAGTAATAATATTCAAAAGGAGCAAGAAATCCTTTTGAATTCTTACTTATTCAGCCTTCACTGATGATGCTAATTTTTGTTTTTCAGGTATGATAATCATAGAGAGGCCCTACTTAAAGGTGGGCTTGATGGCGAATATCAAGATGACAGCTTAGATTTGCTACGCTATTTCACCGTTACCTGTTATTCTGGTTATGGAGATGATGAAAAGGTAAGATAAATGAACTCACCCTTAATTTCTTGTCAAGTACTAAGACTCACATACCAAGAGAGTTCTTAAAACTATTCTGTAATAGAAAGTGAAGCAGTGTTCATTTTGAAAACTGAAGCTGTATTACCTTCATGTTTAAACTGTCAGTGTATAAAAACCTCCAGTTGAAATCTAAATGTACTTTCAGGGACTGAACTTTGTCCCAAAATTCTTCAACATGAAAATTTTTCATTTTGTATTTTAAAATCTTATTCTGTGATTAGGCTGTGAAAGTGTTAAGAATTTGTTTTTGTTACTGTTTTTTTAGGGCTTTTACACGGTGTATCGTAATGTTTTTGAAATGATTGCCAAGGAAGAACTAGAATCTGTGTTAGAGGAAGAGGTTGATGATTTCCCAACTTTTGGAGACTCCCAGAGTGACTATGATACGGTAAAAGAAAAATACATTGTGTTCTATAATTAGTATTTATCACTGTGCCATTTTTAAATTTAATTTAATTTTTTGAGATGGTCTCACTCTGTCACCCAGGCTGTAGTGCAGTGGTATAATCATGTCTCACAACAGCCTCAAACTCCTGGGCTTAATCCTCCTGCCTCAGCCTCCTGAGTAGCTGGGAACACAAATGTGCGCCATGACATCTAGCTAATTTGTAAATTTTTTTGTAGAGTTGGGGTCTTGCTAAGTTTCCCAGGCTGATCTTGAACTCCTGGCCTCCCTCCTTGACCTCCCAAAAGATTGGGATTACAGTCATGAGCCACAGCTCCCAGCTTCCCATTTCCTCGTTTTAAAACAATTGGTTCTAGTTCTCGGACCTATCCCATGACCTCTCTTTGTCTCTCTCCCTTTCTGAAGTAGCTTTTGGATCTCTTGCAACCTTCCCTCTACTTTTCCTTTTTTATTTTTTATTTTTATTTTTATTTTATTTACTTATTTATTTTGTTTGAGATGGCGTTTCACTCCTGTCGCTCAGGCTGGAGTGCAGTGGCACCATCTCAGCTCACTGCAACCTCAGCCTCCCAGGTTCAAGCGATTCTCCTGCCTCAGTCTCCCACGTAGTTGGGATTATAGGCTCCCACCACCAATGCTCAGCTAATTTTTGTATTTTTAGTAGAGACGGGATTTCGTCGTGTTGGCCAGGCTGGTTTCAAACTCCTGACCTCAGGTGATCACCCACCTCAGCCTCCCAAAGTACTGGGATTACAGGTGTGAGCCACCATGCCTACTTTTCCCTTTTAATTTACTAATTATTTACTGATTATTTACTAATCACCATGGTCCCATCCAGTGATTAGTAAGGCTATTTTTATTTTCTCATTAGGTTTATTTTGAAGAGTGATTTATTCTCGAAAGCCTTAAAAGTACTGTATTCTCCAGTGATTAATAGAAGTGTTATATATGTGAAAAAAGAAAGCTAAAAGATATTTTGCATCACTAATATTTACTGCTTTTCTAAAAAAAAATTTAAAAGCCCAGAAGTTAATCTGTTTTCTTTGTCGCTAGGTAGTCCATCCTTTCTACGCTTATTGGCAGAGTTTCTGCACTCAAAAGAATTTTGCATGGAAGGAAGAATATGATACACGACAAGCTTCAAACCGCTGGGAAAAACGAGCCATGGAAAAAGAAAACAAAAAGGTTCGGGACAAAGCAAGGAAAGAGAAGAATGAGCTTGTCCGTCAGCTGGTAGCTTTCATTCGTAAAAGAGATAAAAGAGTGCAGGCTCATCGAAAACTTGTGGAAGAACAGAATGCAGAGAAGGCAAGGAAAGCCGAGGAGATGAGGCGGCAGCAGAAGCTAAAGCAGGCCAAGTGCGTAGCATGCGCGGGGCCCTCTTCTCAGTATCGGTGGGGGTCAGAGGCAGCACCAGCGGTACCTGACATGTTCATGATGGGTTCAGTCATCAGCCTGGCCTTGTCCTGCTTTTTGTTCTTTTTAAAATTGTGGCATTGGATAGTGTTTTTTCATCTACTGTATAAAAATTATTATTATTATTATTATTTTTGGGACAGAGTCTCGCTCTGTTGCCCAGTCTAGAGTGCAGTGGCACGATCTCGGCTCACTGCAACCTCTGCCTCCAGGTTCAAGGGGTTCTGCTGTCTCAGCCTACCAAGTAACTGAGATTACAGGCTTAATATGCCGCCACACCCAGCTAATTTTTGTGTTTTTAGTAGTGACGAGGTTTCACCCTGTTGGCCAGGCTGATCTCCTACTCCTGGCCTCGGGTGATCTGTCCGCCTCAGCCTCCCAAAGTGCTGGAATTATAGGCATGAGCTACAGTGCCTGGCCTAAAGTTTTTATTTGAATTGCATGTTTTCCTTCAGAGACCCTTTACATTTGAGAGATCCTTTAGACTCTTGTAAAATTTAATAATTTTAATTAATAACTAACGTTAATTTTATTCTTCCTCTATACAAGGCTGTGTTCTAAGTGCCTTCCTCACAGCAATGCTGTGAAGTAACTTATCCTCCTTGTTCTTTCAAGGAAACAAGGCAGACAGGCCTAAGATCACAGAGCCAGTAAATGGTAGAGGAATTGAACCTGAGAATTCTGACTCCACACTTTCCTGCTTTAGCCACCGTGCAGTACTGCCTTTTGGTCAGTGTACTCTGAGATACTTTGTTCATTTTAGTTCCTCTAAAGTTTTGTTATTAAAAAGTTACTGTAAAAGCATTCTGTCCAGAGCATTATAGCATTCTTTTAAAAATTACTCACTTCTTAAGAATCCTAACTCATCCCACCCTCATCTTTTGAAAATTAACACTTTACCTACACGACTTAAAATCGTCTGAAGATTTTTAATAAGTTGCTGAGTTACGTGTTTCAAAACCTATTATCTACTGCTGGAGCAATTAAAATCAACCATGTAACAGGTAACAGGTTTAAATGACTTTGCCTTGGTTTTAACTAAGCACAGCTTTTAAGTTTGTAAGCATGGATAGGTTGGGAGCAAGCTCTCTAGGGGGAATGGATTTTAAACCTAAGTAGTAAGTATAAACCATGCAGAGGCGTGCTTGTTGCTATGAGACTGTGCTGTATGTGTCCAGACTGGCGGAGCAGTACAGAGAACAGAGCTGGATGACTATGGCGAATTTGGAGAAGGAGCTCCAGGAGATGGAGGCACGGTACGAGAAGGAGTTTGGAGATGGGTCGGATGAAAACGAAATGGAAGAATATGAACTCAAAGATGGGGAGGATGGTAATGTTGTTTTTATACAGTGTGTACTTCTAGCTGTGTAACATGACAAATGGCCATGTTTACAAGTGTGACTATTAAAGAAAACTCAATTAAGTGGTAGGTCAAGTTTTAATAGTAACTATTTCTAGAAAAGCTGATATTGCATGAGAATCTATGTGTTGTGTATAAATTCTTCCTCTCCCTTGTGACTTTATAGAGGGGCTCCTCTTCGTGTGCCAAAATGTTGTTTTCTTTGCCGCTATCATTAGAGCACAGGTATTTGACTTCCTTAAAAGGCAAGGATAGGGCATTTTTGAGAATAGCTGTATTTTCCCCACTGTCTCTATAAAATTGACCCAATTTTACCTTATCTACAAATGTGATTTTTCAGATTAGTAGCCCAAATGATAAAATGATAAACTTTTATTTATTCAAAATGACTAGGAAGTGTTTTATTAATGAATCAGAAGTAATACTTGTGAACGTACTTTGAAAATTAAAAAGCACTCTATAAATGTGAGATGGCCTAATTTACATCGAGTTTTACAATTTATAGCGTCCTTTCACATCCAAGATCTCACTGGATCCTCACACAATCCCCCTTACATGGAGGTTTTGCTCATGGAATTGTCTCTATTTTGCCGTTGTGGAAACTAGGACTCTGAGAAGCTATGAGATGTGCCTGAGAACGTATGACCATTTTTAGATCCAGAGTTTTTGCTTCAAATCCAGTATTGTTAACTATTTGATTAATTAAAATTTCACATATACGATATATTGAAAGTCTACAATACCATAATGGAAAGTTAACACCGTATATTAAACATTAACACTAGATAGTGTTATATTTTGGGGTATATTTTGATAGAGTATATTTTGATCATTTATGATTTCAATGAGATAGTCCTTCAGAATCATACTGACATCACTTATAAATAAGCAACATGTACATGGAAGAGATACCTTGAGATATTTATTGGTCCCGTAATAAATCCCAAATGACAGTTTACCTGTTAGTTTCTTCAAAAATAGAATATGGGTTTGTGAAAATAATTTCAGTTGAGCTTTTTAGTCACTTAGTTTTTGTGGACTATACTGATAGTAATTACTCAGTTGTAATAAAGCCAAAAACGTAAAAGTTTACAATGTGAAACTTTACATGTAATATGTTAACTTATGGCCTATCCGTCTTATAGTGATGGAATGTTATAAACTAAGTTTATTAAGTATTTAAGAGTAAGTCACAGTTGTAAATGTGTTTGGACCAAACCTTGCTCAAGAGGTAAACTAAGGAAAGACCTTTGTTGAAAAAACTACATCATGGTAGATCTATTAAAGTGGGATTTAATTTTTTAAACTTAGCTCACATCCAAGACTTTAAGGATGTTTTAAATCTTCTTTTAAGTAGACTTAGGAAAAGAACTTGAAAGGTAAGGTGCTTTATTTGGAAGCCTTTCCTTATAGTACGGTGCTTCTTTTAAAAAGCTAACTCAAATCCTGATAGCATTTTTTTTTTTTTTTGGTAAATAAATAAAATTTAATTTCTAATTTATGTGAGAGTTTAGATCCTTAACAAAGAGATGAAATTTGTCAGCATATTTTAGATTTGTGCTCTGATCAGAAAGGTTTCTTACTATAGGCTTCCCTCTTATAGGTAAAAACAGTGATGAGGCTGAGGACGCTGAGCTCTATGATGACCTCTACTGCCCAGCATGTGACAAATCGTTCAAGACAGAAAAGGCGTAAGTTTATTTATTTAATTTTATTTTATTATTTTGAGACAGGGTCTCACTCTGTCACCAAAGCTGGAGTGCAGTGGCACAATCATGACTCACCGCAGCCTTGACCTCTTGGACTCAGATCATCCTCCCATGTCAGCCTCCTGAGTGTCGAGGGCTACAGGCACCTGCCACCACAGCCAGCTAATTTTTTTAATAGGCTGGTACAAAAGTAACTGTGGTTTTTGCCATGACTTTCAGTAGCAAAAACTGCAGTTACTTTTGCACCAACCTAAATATTTTCTGTGGAGATGGGGTTTTGCCCTGTTGTCCAGGTTGGTCTTGAACTCCTGGGCTCAAGCACTCCACCTGCCTCAGCCTTTCAAAGTGCTGGGGTTACAAGTGTGAGCCACTGCATCCAGCTAAAAGGAGTAAGTTTAGTATCTTTGAACTTGTGTTTTCTTTTTTTTTTTTGAGACAGAGTCTCACTCTTGCCCAGGCTGGAGTGCACCGGCATGATCTCAGCTCACTGCAACCTCCACCTCCCAGATTCAAGCGATTCTCCTGCCTCAAGCTCCCGACTAGCTGGGACTACAGATGCAGGCCATCGTGCCTGGCTAATGTTTGCATTTTTAGTAGAGACAGGGTCTCACCATGTTGGTCAGGCTGGTCTCAAACTCCTGGCCTTGGGTGATCCACTCGCCTCGGCCTCCCGAAGTGTTGGGATTACAGGCATGCGCCACAACACCCGGCCCTTGTGTTTTCTTTTGAGTTGAAGTGTAACACTTTGAACGTTCTGAAGAGAATGTGCTTGTAGCAGTTGATAACTAGCCTCACATACTGTCTTGGGGGATTCCTTTCCAGCAGGGGAGGAAGAGGTATTTGTCCCTGCTGTTAAACCTGTTGTACTGATTCTCACTCATCCCAGTATTCCTACATAAGAGCTGCTTTTAAAACACATGCACTGTCTCCAGAAAGAAACGTTGCTTGTTTTGGCAAAGAAGACACAGTCACATGGGCAAAAAGTCTAGACCATGTCTAATCATCTCCCTCCATTGTTGATGTCAGACCCAGCATCACTGTCACATGCAGGCTGATGCTGCCAATATAGGGACTTTAAACTTGTCCGGCCCAGAGTATCTTTGCTGAAGTGGAAGCACTTTATCTTAGGGGGACAATGATGAAGAGAGAAGTGTTAAAAAGGATACCATTATTATAAAGGAGGGAGGAAAGAACATGGGAGAAAATGAGAGTAGAATCAGCAAGGGAAAAGAAGCAAAATGGGCAGTCAGAGAGAAAGGAGGCCAAAGGATGAGAATGGGACTGTGAGAGTCATAAGTGGTATTACCATATGACCTCAGGGAGAAATAACAGAGTAGTAAGGGAAGGGGAAAGGGGCAGAAAAATTAGAAACAAGCAAGAAAAAGGTCAACAATGAAGGAGATTTGAAAATTTTTTTTTATTTGGAAATAATGACACACTTAAAGGTAAATTGCAAGAAGAGAATACAGTGTGTCTGATTGACCTGTTACTAACATTTTGCACCATTTGCATGTCCTCTTTCTCTCTACACATTCACACACACACAGTTTTTTTCTGAATAATTTGAAAGTAACTTACATATATAGTGTTCTCTAAATACTCTAAATACTTCACTATATCTTAAGAATAAGGTTATTCTCGCTGGGCGCAGTGGCTCATGCCTGTAATCCCAGCACTTTGGGAGGCTGAGGCGGGCAGATCACCAGAGGTTCAGAGTTTGAGACCAGCCTGATCAATATGGAGAAACCCCGTCTCTACTAAAACTACAAAATTAGCTGGGCATGGTGGCACATGCCTGTAATCCCAGCTACTCAGGAGGCTGAGGCAGTAGAATCGCTTGAACCCGGGAGGCAGAGGTTGTGGTGAGCCAAGATCGTGCCATTGCACTCCAGCCTGGGCAACAAGAGTGAAACTCTGTCTCAAAATAAGAAAAAAGAGTAAGGTTATTCTCTTACGTAACCACGCTACAGTGATCAAATAAAAGTAATTATTAACATTGATATGGTATTTTTATCTAATTTATTACCTGTATTCCAATTTTGCCAATCAATTGTTTATTAATATAGAATTTTCTCCACTTCAATACAGAATGCAGTCTAAGATCATAATCTGGAATAGCTTGTCTTGTCTTTTATGCTGTTTACATTTTAGAAGTATACTGTTTCTTTAAAATACTTTTTTCATAGAATTCTTCTCATTTGGGTTTGTGCATTTCCTCATGATTAGATTCAGGTTATGCAGCCCTAGGTGGGATGCTGCACAAGCGTGTTGTGCTCTCAGGGATTCATAGCTGGAGACATGTAAAGTCCTTCTGCCCCTCATTTGTCATGATAATTTTCATCACCCAATCAAAGTGTCATCTAATTTTACTACTATACTACTAATTTTACTATAGAGTTAGTATTTTTTCCCTTGCAACAAGCTTTCCCTTGTAACATGTTTAATCTGTGAGGAGACACTTTAAAACTATGCAGATATCGTGCTTCTCATAAAAGTTTTCCTTATAACTTTGACATCTGTTGATGGTTTTAGCTTGCATCAGTATTTTTTTTTGGAAGCGGAGTCTCGCTCTGTCGCCCGGACTGGAGTGCAGTGGCACGATCTTGGCTCACTGCAAGCTCCACCTCCCGGGTTCACGCCATTCTCCTGCCTTAGCCTCCCGAGTAGCTGGGACTACAGGCGCCCGCCAGCACGCCCGGCTAATTTTTCGTATTTTCAATAGAGACAGGGTTTCACCATGTTAGCCAGGATGGTCTTGATCTCCTGACCTCGTGATCTACCCACCTCAGCCTCCCAAAGTGCTGCGACTACAGGCGTGAGCCACCACGCCTGGCCACATCAGTCTTTTTTATGATGGTTGCAAAATGATGCTTTTCCAGTGCCAGTGCCCCCTCCAGTTTTTATCTGTTAATACTTGGCCTTTTGCTGTAAACTGGAGCCTTCCCTTTTATCCATGAAAAATGTGTCTGTTATCAGTTTGAATTTATGAATTTTTTTCAGTGTTGTATAATTCATTACCGACCTTTTCTTGCTCAAATTTTTCCAGAATTGGTTAGTGAACATTCCTTCAAGCCAGTTTTTGTGTCCTTTTGACATGTGCCTCTATCTTTTTTGGAGGACTTACTTTCAGACACAAGATCTTCCAGTATCTATCTCCAGGGCAGCTTGGTCTCAGGAAGAATTTTAGTGGGAAAGAAAAATAGCAACTAAAACTATAATACCAAAAGCCTAAACAGATGAGAGGAAGTAGATAGTTGACGAAGGTTCCTCCTTTTTAGTTGATATAACTCTTGTAGCTTATGTTGTCAACTCTTTTGTGGAATGCTTGTTAGCTGCCTGTAGGTGTGCTAAGTCAGACATTGCCAGCAGGGTTTTGAACAGAGGGGTAGAGATGTGTCTGAACTTATATTACGGTGGTGAGAGTGAGGAAGGAGACCTCTCCTGAGAAGGTGAAAAGCAGCTGGTGAAAAAGCAAGAAGCAGTAAACTGCTCTTGTATTTCAAGCCCTCCCACCACCATTTCTGTAGTCCAGGGGCCTCTTCCTTTTAACATTAGAATGTGTGTTTTCTAATTTCCCAGTGATCCCTCCAAGTCTGTGGGATGGCCTGGAATGTAAATACACTTAGCAAATACTTAGCAATTAAAAGGAAACAATGAAGGAAGCTTTAAGAACTGAAAAATCAAAATAATAAATAGAGAATTTGGCCAAACTTCCCCCTGCCAACATTCCCCCATCCCCAGAAAGGAAGAAAATGTATGTAGATAAAAGGACAGAGAAAGACAGGGGAAGCTGTGGTACTAGAAGAAAGAGCATGGCCACGAGCTTCCAGTGTGCTTACTACCGGAGGAATCCTGACACGTTCTGTTTCTCTGTATAAAATCATGAACAAATAAAAAAAAGAAAAAAATTTAAAGTAAATAAATAAAAATCATAAACGTTTTGCTTAGCGGGGAAAAAAGCAAATTTTATCTTGGTTGCAGTTATCCAGCAACATTATCTGGACACCTGAACTAATTTTAGTGCAGCTGCTCACGTCAGATTGCTCTTTCAGCATGAAAAATCACGAGAAGTCAAAGAAGCATCGGGAAATGGTGGCCTTGCTAAAACAACAGCTGGAGGAGGAGGAAGAAAATTTTTCAAGACCTCAGATTGATGAAAATCCATTAGATGACAATTCTGAGGAAGAAATGGAAGATGCACCAAAACAAAAGTACTTCTAAATATTAAATATCACTAGAAATACTTATCACATTCAGAGATTGCATTTAAAGGTTTTTTTTTGTTTGTTTTTTGTTTTTTTTAGATGTAGAATTGCTCTGTCGCCCAGGCTGGAGTGCAGTGGCCCAATCTCAGCTCAGTGCAACCTCCAACTCGTGGGTTCAAGTGATTCTCCTCCCTCAGCCTCCCAAGTAGCTGGGACTACAGGCACACACCAGTACGCCCAGCTAATTTTTGTATTTTTAGTTGAGACAGGGTTTCGCCATGTTGGCCAGGCTCGTCTTGAACTCCTGATCTCAGGTGATCCACCTACCTCGGCCTCCCAGAGTGCTGGGGTTACAGGCGTCAGCTACCGCGCCCGGCCTTAAAGTCTGTTTTATCCCAAGAAAGTTATTCAGTTATGCTAATATTGTCTCCATATTTTCCAGTTCATGGAACTTTATAGTGTTGAAGTGGATACAAACAGAATGTCAACTATAATATTTATAGAACATATTATCGCTATATTAAAAGCAGTTTTTATACATGGCAATTGATATGCTAATTACTATCCGTTGAACTACAGACTTTTGTTATTCTCTAAAATGACAATGTGAATACTTTATTTTCCTTTTAATGCTTTATGATATTAAATATTTTTAATCTTTTACTTCTATTTTACTACTTTATCACTAGTGTTTCAACTTTTTTTTCTTTCCCACTTAATCTTCACAGAGTCAAGTATTTGACATTTTGATTTATATTTGCTCTTAGGCTTTCTAAAAAACAGAAGAAAAAGAAACAGAAACCAGTACAGGTATGTTAGAAAGGTTTTGTTAATATTAAATGCCAACTGTAAAGTCGCAGTGCTCTTATTTATTCAGTGTCGTCTGTATTAAGGAGAGAGACTTATACTTCATAATTTTATGTTGGTTGTAAGCTTCATTAAAAGGAATTGGAAATATTTTCCTTTTTTAGTGCTTCCCTCCCTTGTATGTATGTAATAACTAACTTAATTATGACTGCCAGTGTGTTTAACAGGTATGCATGTAGAATTCCCCTGGTATGAATTAGCTGAATTTTCAGTATTAAAAATATGAATACGTCTCACAGAAGGGCTTTTAAGTCAAGATAACAATTAAAGTCTTGAAATAGGAAAATCTGGGATTGGTCATTTTTTTATCTAAGTTTATTTCTGCAAGCAACATAAACATTGCAAAAGGAACATTTGGTTAGAAACTTGTAATGATTATGAGTCTTGAAAAAATGTTTCTGTTTTTCAGAAGTTTTAAGTAATTTAAATATTTCACAGCTGAAGTCCAAATTCATTATCTTAAGGACTATTTTTAAATAAAATGATATTATGTTGTTACACCTATAAAAATATGGATATTTGGTTTTATGCCATTTTAGTATAATCTAGTTATATTAACTTACATTAAGTATTAAATATTTTTAATAAAACGCTTAATGCTTTTTAATAAAACTTTAGATTTGGCTTATTTATCCAAATGGTTATAATAATATATTTGATAGTCTTTTAAAAATCAGTTTCCTATTCCAAAAATGATACATGACACATGAGTTAATCACTTAAAATTGTAATTTGGAACTTTTTGCTTCAGTTATAAAACCACATAGCAAATATGTGTTCTTTTTGTAAATTGATGCCTACCATCATCCATCCAAACACCTTATAATTATTAGTTTGGAACACTTTCTCTTTCGTTTGTGTATGTCAGTACCACTACAGTAAGGAAAAAATAAATGGAGAGAGATTTATGTTTAACGTTTGTGTATGTCAGTACCACTAGAGTAAGGAAAAAATAAATGGAGAGAGATTTATGTTTAACCTGAGCCTGTATTACCTTGATTAATGGAGCATAGATTCTATTGATTGCAACCATAAACACATATATTAGTATTTTCTTACTGGTGAAAATGCTTCAAATGAACACCCCATTGTTTCTCACGAAAGCTATATTCCTTTAATAGCATTCCTCGTTTATGATTCCTGATTGTAGCAAGTTCAGACCTAGCTTGATGTAGCACTTTTCCTGATATTTTCTAAGATCTTTTTGAAGGGAAGGGCAGTGTGGAGACGTGTACTGATAGATTTAAGAGCAGATGGCAGCAAATAATGAGTATCTTGAAACTTGAGATTGGGAAAGTTTTCCGTATGGCCAGAAAAATTCCGTAAACAACAAGGATTGTACAGGAAAACACTCCCAAGTTAAAACTGAATGTAAATAGAAACAAATGACCCTGACTGACAGGAAAGAAAATTTAATTCAGGTAACTCAAACATAGTACTCTGACTGAATACATTCCATGGGATATAGTTGAAAGATAAAATTAACTGCCAAAAAAGTAAGTCCTGAATTTGGTATTTTTTGGGTGGTATTGGTGTGGTATTTTTGAAAGTAAATGAATAATATTTTCACCAATTTCATAGGAGGCATTGTCACTATTGAATTTTTTTTTTTTGATATGCAGAAAATTTGAAGTATTATGTAGTTAAATTTTTCTGTTCTTTGTTGATCTATATTTAATGTTGTGTCTAAGAAAATGATGCCAAGACCCATGTCATTTCTTTCCCCTATATTTTTTCTAAGAGATTTGTTAGTTATTTCTTATGTGTAAGTATTTTATTTAAAATATTTTTTGTATGTGATTCAAGGAGAGGATCCAGCTTTATCAGTGTAGATATGTAGTTTTCAACATTTTTTTTTGAAGTGATTATCTTTTCTCTATTGTGTGCTCATGGCAACTTTGTGTAAGATGATTTAATCATGTACAGAAGAGTTCATTTCTGTGCTCTATTCTGTTCTGTTGTCTGTTTATCTGTCTTTGTGTCAGTACCACATTGTTTTTGTTATTGTAGATTTTAATATGTTTTGAAATCAGGAAGTATAATGCCTCCTCTTTTTCATGAGTGCTTGGCTAGTTATAGTTCATAATCAAATTTAAAAATGTTAAACAATAGGTCTGTAAAAAAATCCTGTGCTATTGGGATTTTTATAGAAATTGAATTTGTTCACAATGTAGGTTGTATTGACATCTCAAAAAAATTAAATTATTTGACCCTTGACCCCCCCCAAAAAAAGGAATTAAATGAATAAATTGTTACTGGGAACCATATTCTTTTTGTGGGAAGAGGGAAGTACAAACATAGAGAGAAAGAGAAGAAGAATACTGTGGAGTTGGATTGAAGTGGAGATGTTGGTGTGAACCCATCATTTAAAGAAAGTAAGTGTGTGAGCAGTGTGCATTGTGAGGACCTAGAAGCAATGACACCCCTAGCATTGAGCACACCTAGTGCACACGTATTGGTTTTTAAGTTTCCTTTTCCATGAAAAGGAAACAGGCTTGATCTTTGGAGAAGTAGCTGATTTCAGGGCTGAGACTGGGAAAGTGGAACATGAGCCTAGAGCATCTTATACTAGAAACTAAGGAAGTGCTCAAAAACTGATAGGGATACATTAGAAATACTCAAGATCCAGCTTGCGGGGCCTGCCAATTTGGGAAAATTTGAGTCATCAAAAGGAATAAAGATAGTAGATCTTCATACATTGCATTTGTTAAAAATAAATTTATGTATCTATATTGACTTTTAAAAGAGTGAGAGTTGGCCAGGCGTGGTGGCTCACACCTGTAATCCCAGCACTTTGGGAGGCAAAGGCGGGTGGTTCACAAAGTCAGGAGTTCGAGATCAGCTTGGCTAACATAGTGAAACCCCATCTCTACTAAAAACACAAAAATTAGCTGGACATGGTGCCACGCGCCTGTAATCCCAGCTGTGGAGCCTGAGACAGGAGAATCGTTGGAACCCTGGAGGCTGAGGTTGCAGTGAGCTGAGATCCTGCCACTGCACTCCAGCCTGGGCAACAGAGCAAGACTCTGTCTCAAAAAAAAAGAGTGGGAGTTGGAGAAAGGAAATGGGAAAGCTTTATTATTACAGGAGAATATTAATTAGTACAAGTGCAAATGACAGAAGTAATAGAGGGAGAAAATCACTCTTCTACATCCATCAGTATATAAATGTTTCAGGCAAGAATCGTCAATAGATGCCAAGTATATTCAGTAAATGGTTATGGGGACAGGATATTTACATAGTCTCAGCATCATGCTCTAAAGATTACTTATTAATTAAAAAAGGGAAAATGTACTTTATACTTGAAAAATCTGGCAATACCACCCCAACCAAATGATCAAACTTATTAATATCACTGAAAAATGTGACAAACGCATTTTGCCTCCTGGGATTATAGTATTATGCTAGAAATGTTTAACCTGAATCTGATCATTTGGAAACAACCAAACAAAGCCAAATTATGGGACACTCTACAAAACATCAAATTGTCAACACCATGAAAGACAAAACAAAAAAGTGGGGGAACTGTTCTAAAATAAAGGACATTAAAGATACCTGACAACTAAATGCAACATGTGATCCCTGATTACACCCCCTATCCTGTATGTCCCAATAGGGGAAAAGGATTAATTGGTAAATTTGAATGTGGGTTGTGTAACAGATAATATCAGCATTAGATTCTTGAGCGTGCGTATTGTGCCAGAGAATGTTTTGATTCTTAGGATGTACCTGGCAAAGATTCATATCTGCCTGCAAGCTCACTTTCAGATGGTTTGGGGGAAAAAGTGTGTGTTAGGAGAGAGAAGAGGTGGAGAGAGCGAGCACAAATGTGCCAAAATGTTGCTTGAAAACAGACAGGTACACTTAGGATAGGTTTGCCCGGTGTCTTTCTTCTATAATGCCTGTTTGTTGTTGCCGTTGTTTGTGACTGTAGAAAAATAGTTGCCCATTGCTTATCATTTGGAAATATGGAAAAATACCATCCTCAATTTTACCTGTAGAGATTACTTAATAAAGAATTAAATTGTGATTACAATTTTCTCTCTTCTGCTTTTGCTAATATGTTGTATTTTTTCACATAATTGAATATCTTTGGAAACATGATACTTAAGCACTTGAGAATTTTTCTTCATATATTCAGCCTTTCACTTTTTGAACATTTGGATTGTTTTCAGATTTCCGCTAATTTACTATCTCTGTAATGAGCATCCATGTTCTTAACTTACCTGCTTCCCCTTTTTATTTCCCGAAAGTATATAACTATTTGGCAACATAACATAAAAAAGTAGTAGTAGTAGATTTATTTTGTAATGGCACATACGTTTTATTACCTAGAATTATGATGACAATTTCAATGTAAATGGAACTGGAGAAGGAGTAAAGCTTGATCCAGAAGATACTAACTTAAATCAAGACAGTACCAAAGAATTGGAAGATAGTCCCCAGGAAAATGTCAGTGTCACAGAGATCATTAAACCATGTGATGATCCAAAAAGTGAAACTAAAAGGTAAGTCAAAGTTGCATGTTATTTGTAAATTACCGAATATTGATAGTAAGGATATAGCTTTTCATATATCAAATAAAATCTTCTTTCCCATGACTGACCGAGTAATTTAGATGTATCTGTACATATCTGCATGTAGATACACACACATATGTATACAGATGAAGAGCATTGAGAAGAGGATGCTAGAGGAATGTGCCCACACACATCTCAGCAGCATGGCCAAAATCAGAAAGATGTCACTTTGATCCAGTTCTTGTTTCCCTTATCCTGCTGTGGTGCTGATTTTGTTGTGGATCATTAACCCTTGACACTCACATGAGAACAAGACTCCTGCTGCGTCCCTGGAGTGTTACTAACCAAATCTCCATGCTCATGACAGCAGCTTGTGTTGGGCCCCACCATGTTGTGAGGATGCATGGCAGCAGCTGGGGCCTTTCCTGCTTAGAGGAGCCCTGGACTCTTGGTGCTGCACAAGGCCATGGTGTGGCCTAGGAGGAGGTCTCACTCAAGGGAGGTAGCCTGTCCTGTCCTCTCCTTCCTCCTCTTGTCTGACTTTCTTTCCCCCATCCTCCTTGGTTCCTCTAGAACAGAGAATCATTTCTTATTTCTTGAGGAAAGATCTGATAGTGAGGAGCTTCAGGTTTCTGTCTACAGAACCCTGAAAAGAATTAAAGTGACAGAGCAAAATGGGAGCATGAGGTAAAAATGCTAACACTGGAGCAACAGTGATGGGGTGGGGGAGTATGTGTACTTTGGGATTTAAGGCACTTAGGGGTTTAAGGAAGGAGGAAACAGATATGCCTGAGGTCCACGATATGGCTCTGGCTATAGAAGAAAGTATATAAAGCACTACACAAACTGGTCATGTTGAAGCTTTGAAGAACTTTGGAGAGTAGAAGCCTAGAAGGGGAAATTCATATTTATTTCACTCTGACACCAGGTGTTTGTTCCCTTTCTGCTAATGGGGAAACTGAATTTCAGGTTAATTGTCCAAAGACAAAAGCTGTTGAGTAGAAAGGCTGACACTTCATTCCATCTGCCTGACGACTTGAAGGCACCCAGATCATCTGGCTCCACGGAGCCTGTGTGTCCTGTGGGATGGGCGCAAGAGTGGGCCAAGAGGTGGGGCTGTGGGCCTCTGAACCCCTTCTTCATCTAAAACTAAAATTTTTCACTTCTTTTCCATGTTACTTCTTTTTTTTTTTTTCGGAGATGGAGTCTTGCTCTGTCACCCAGGCTGGAGTACAGTGGCACGATCTCGACTCACTGCAATCTCTGCCTCCTGGGTTCAAGCAATTCTCCTGCCTCAGCCTCCCGAGTAGCTGGGACTATAGTCATGCACTGCCACGCCTGGCTTTTTTTTTGTTTTTTAGTAGAGACAGGGTTTCACCATGTTACCCAGGCTGGTCTCAAACTCCTGACCTTGTGATCTGCCTGCCTCGGCCTACCAAAGTGCTGGGATTACAGGCGTGAGCAACCATGCCCAGCCTCCATGTTACTTCTACGTGAGAATTGGTCTGGGGAGGAAGAAGGTTCTCAGACTTGGGCAACCACTGATATAGTTCAGCTGTCTCATTTCACTGATGTGAGAAAAGGATTCAGAGAATTCAAGTGACTTCTTCACAGCTGCAGAATGGCAGGGCTAAGATAGATACATTACACCCACCACCCTCCCCACACTACTCCTGTCCCCTGGATCCAGGGCCTTTATGCTGGACTCCTCTGCTGCTTCTCTGGAGTGGTGTGGACACTGGCCACCTACTGAGGCAGGTTTTTTAAAAAAATTGTGTGTGTGTGTGTGTGTGTGTGTGTGTGTGTAGTAGTTTTAAAAAATAAAGGTCTTAGATATCAGTTTCAGAGATGTAACTGTCTTTCATAATGTAAGTGATGTTTGCCAGGAATATTATCCTAAATTTGTTAGACATATTAGTGTCATATCTGTGATGATAGTTTGAAAATTAGTATGTATTATTTGTTGCCTTTTATGCCATTGTATCCTTTTCTTGATGTTTTCAAAGCTGGCTGAATCCTACACAATATGTTACACTCCTAATCTGCATCTTTTAAATGCATAGGCCATTTAACTTAACACAGACCATTGGCCTCTGCTTGAAGAATAGTATGCCTATAAATCGGAAGCATTATCATAACTTACTCATTATAACCCATCCTGTCTGTTCTGTACAGTATAGTTGGACCCAGATTTTTACCCTATGAATTTGGTTAGCACAAATGAGGGAAGGTATGAAATGCCTAAGGACAGTCGAAATTCATGTAGGAGATGAGTAGAGGAATGTTCAGCAGTTCAGGCAGAATAAGAGGAACCCAGCGACATCATTTCTGATCTAAATGATACGGTGGGGAAAAACCATCAGATCAACAGAAAGGACATAATTTTTAAATAACAGTAAATTCCTTACATTGAGCAAATTTAATTTTATGAAACATGTATTACAGAGTCTTTGTTTCACTCATTTCTCTGTGCAACTATTGAAATGTTTGTTAGACTGGATCACGTTCAAGAAGTTATTATTAGGCCTGGCACGGTGGCTCACGCCTATAATCCCAGCACTTTGGGAAGCTGAGGCGGTGGATCACGAGGTCAGGAGTTTGAGACCATCCTGGCCAATATGGTAAAACCCTGTCTCTACTAAAAAATACAAAAATTAGCTGAATGTGGTGGCACGTGCCTGTAGTCCCAGCTACTCAGGAGACTGAGGCAGGAAAATTGCTTGAACCCGGGAGGCAGAGGTTGCAGTGAGCCAAGATCACGCCACTGCACTCGAGCCTGGGCAACAGAGTGAGACTCCATCTCAAGAAAACAAACAAAAAAAAGAAGTTAATGTTTTTGGGGAACCACACTTCATGTTAGATCATTTATGATTACTATTGGTTGGTTATGAAGATGATTTGCTTCTTTAAATGGAGTATTGAGTGCTTTGTGCTTTTTTTTTTCTGAAACAGAGTCTTGCTCTGTCACCCAGGCTAGAATGCAGTGGTACAATCTTGGCTCACTGCAGTCTCTGCCTCCTGGGTTCAAGTGATTCTCCTGCTCCTCCTTCCGAGGAACTGGGATTACAGGTGCCTGCCACCACGCCCAGCTAATTTTTTGTGTTTTTAGTAGAGACGGAGGTTTCACCATGTTGGCCAAGCCGGTCTCAAGCTCCTGACCTCAAGTGATCTCCCCGCCTTGGCCTCCCAAAGTGCTGGGATTACAGGTGTGAGCCACTGCGCGTGGCAGTGCTTTGCTTTTTATGAAAACACTGTATAAAACATTCAGAAATATTTTAAGAACCTTGTTTTAACTTTGTTTCAACTGTTTTAAGTAAATTCCTTAATTTTTATGCCAAATTTGATATTCAATTTGATTTCCGAAGTTGCTTTTTAAAGCTGTTCATTTGAATGTAAAGATTATTTAAATTGCCTTTAAAATTAATGAATTAACCTTTAAAGTGCATTTCACTTTTTTGAGTGTTCTTTAGAGCACTCAATGATGATTAAAAGGAGTATGTTTTTTTTTTATTATGCTGAATTATTTATTTTCCAGTGTTCCTAAACCCAAAGGAAAGAAAACCAAAGATATGAAAAAACCTGTCAAAGTACCTGCTGAACCACAGGCAATGGTAGGTCAAAATCATATTTGTATCTCTTTAGCATATCTTGCTGTTTAAGCAATATAGTGATCTAAAGATGGAAATGTGTATTTGGTGAGCTATTCCCCAAAGAACCTGCAAAGACGTGGATCCATCAACAGTTTTGTTTGATAAAGGTAGAATTTGTATATATAATGTATCTTTTTTTTCATTAAAATAAAAAGAAGCACATTGGAAATGCTGGACTGTACCAGAACAGTTACTGTTGCTTTCTGTTTTCAATCTAAAGCCTTGGTGGTAAGAATTACATGTGTCAAGTTCTGGAGATTAATTGTGAAGCATAAACTCTTCCTCCGTTCTAGTCCATGGGGTACATGCTATTGAAAGTCTCAGGACCCTTAAAGTTAATTGTGTTGATTAGTGGGATTTAACCTCCAAGAACATCTGCCTTTGTTGGACCTGTTTATTAGCTGTCCACTCTGTTAAAACATCTTTATTTTACAATTGTTTGATGCTTAATCTTGACATTAAAACCTAAAACTACTTTTAAGTGATGATGCTTACTTTTATTTATGATTTTTTGCCCTTCTCAGAGTGATGTTCTTATCAGCTGTACAACCTGCCATAGTGAATTTCCATCCCGGAATAAACTTTTTGACCATCTAAAGGCCACAGGTCATGCAAGAGCACCTTCATCATCATCTTTAAACAGTGCAACAAGTAGTCGAAGCAAGAAAGAGAAACGTAAAAACAGATAGAGATTCTGCCTGTGCTTTTGTTTGACTGTCTCTAGATCTTGAAACCAAAAAACTGAACTGAAATCATCTAAAGAGTTAAAATTTCAATGATCTGCAATTAATTACATTGTGGAAGATTATTTTTTATCTTGTAAAAACATTTTTTTGGTTTAATATATATTTTTAAAACATTTCACTAGTGATTGAATTCTACTTTTGCCATCTGAATTGACTTGAATGTCTTAAAACAGGTAAATACTGTAAAGTGTGTATTCTTGATGTTTGTTGGCTCATGTGGACAGAAATGTACAGGGAGAATTACATTATTTTAACACAGAAGTGCTCCTTTCTGCTTTATTTTGTGAATTTCACATTACTTTTACTTAATGCTTTTGTATTTTGTTAATCCTTCATAATATATGAAAAACTCGGATCTTTTAAAAAGCATCACAGATCATTTTTCCACATGACACTGGATCCGATTTTAAAAATTATTTTTAAATAACTGATTATGGATTATTGTGTTTTTTTCTCAAGAGCAATGATAGGTAGAAACTAATTGAACGTTTGTAGTTGTGTTTCAAGAATAGTATCTCTTCAAGATTTTAATTTGAATTTGATTTTAATTTTAATTTGAATTTAATTTTAATAGTATCTCTTTGATTTAATTTGATATTTTACTGGTTTACCAGTAAAATATTGTTCTGTAAAATATTTACTGGTTTACCAGTAAAATATTGTTTTACCAGTAAAATATTGTTCTGTAAAATATTTACTGGTTTACCAGTAAAATATTGTTTACTGTTTACCAGTAAAATATTGTTCAGTTTTTTGCTCTGATTTGAATTGTGGAGGTGGAAGCAAATTAGTTTACATGGCATGTCCTCCCTAGGCACAGTGACAGCTGTAAAGTATGACGGAACAAGGTAGCAGATGATACAGAATTTCTACTATTTAACAAGAGATGTATTATTCTTCATTGGGTTTTTTCTTCCCTATTTTCAGACGTTTTTGTTCTTTTTTTCCCGTGACTCAATGGAGAAAAACTTTGTTAATGAAAGATTTTGTGATAGAGCTGAGGCTTATACCATCTGTTCTATAGCAATGATGAATATTAACACAAAAGAAATATGAAGAAGTGTTATAACTGAGTATTAGAACAGTCGGGTACATTGATCAGTATTAAGTCCATTTTTAGGATGGATTAGTCAGTTCTTTTAATTGGTCTTGAAAGTAATTCTAAACTCACTGGCTTGAAATGTATACTTTCTGTACAATGAAGTTATTGCTTTCTGCATATCCTCGAATCTTCAGATTAACGAAATGAACAAATTTTCAATTATAGATCAGCTCTAAAACACTAAAATCCTTAATGGCAAAGTCTTTTCTGATAGCTTCATGGATAGTATTGATGATCAGGTTTCTTCTGTGTTATTGACTTAAAAATAAGCATTTGAAACTTAAATTTTTTTCTTTTCCATTTAGAGATATATTTTTTTCTTTACCTTCATACGTTTCCATTTCTTGCTAATTTCTATCACTAATTCCTCATAATTGTCCCCGCTCCCCTTCTTGATCTCTTCAGGGGGAATACTAGCCAGTTTCGTATCTTCTGATCTCTTATCCTGAGACTTCTGAATGTGCTCTACTATCTTCTTATCTGAACTAGATGAATTGGCCGTAATTATGAATAGGAATATAAATGAACCAGAGGACATACTAGTCACATGTTATTATACAGTAAAAAATACGAAGTCATCTTGAAAGGCAGTTAATGGTACTGCAAATGTCCCTTATGACTTCTTGTCTTTCTCTTGTACCGAACATGCAGGTATTTAATTTGTTTCATGAGGGTTGAGTGGAGTTACTTGTCACTTTTATGCAGATTGACAAAAATCAACCGTAGTTTTCAAGGGGTCTTTGTGAGTTGTGACTGGAAGCTGACCTAAGTCTTGTGTCTCATCCTTTGTGATGTTGAGAAATCATCTAATTTCTCAGAACTTTTTCTTATCTCTAACACAGTTCTTACCATAATAATATTGTCTCCATTTATCATACAGGATGATTATGAAGGTAAAATGAAATAGTATATATGAAAATGCTTTTTAAACACAAAAGCTTTATACAAAATATTGTTAAATTTAATTAAGGTAAATCTTTTTTAGTTTATATATTTGCAGACTAAAGTATACATGTTGGATTAAATGGGCAATTTTGCTTCCTAAGTCTACTTCTGAAGAGGAAAACAGAAACATACCATATATTATGCTAAGGGTAAAATATTTTTGGTGAATTGCAGACTTTTAATTTCACTTGTCTGAGGTAAAACAATATTCTGAAATACATGGGCATGCTTCTTACACTGATCTCATTAGAGGTCAGTGAAAAGTACCCATCTTGATTGAAGTTAGCTCAGATGTGGAGATTCATAGAATGAGGGTTCCAGGAGGAGAGAGTTAGGGGAAATCCCATTTTCTTTCTGTAATTCATTCAATGTTGCCAAAGCTGGGGGTTCCCTACAAAGCCCTTTTAGACTTTCCCTGCTTCAAAATAAGAGCAGTATCCTTAGCTGTAGCCAAGCATTTTTCTAATTCCTGCCTTTGATCACAAAGAAGAAAAAGCAGAGCTGTAAATGAATTAGTGGAGGTCCGTCACATCAGAGTTCATCACCTAGTGATTGCTGGTGAAATAATATTGGAATTTTGGTTCCATGCGAAGACTTATAATGGGTTTCATCAGAAGTTTTCATTTTTTCTAAATCCTCCCGTACAAAATTTTCTGATTGGAAACTCCTCTGTATTTGTGTAAGATTGTCTCTAAAATTGTGGTTTAACTCATACAGGAAGTAAAACTCTTATGGCAAGACATAGTTTCATTTTAGAGGACCCCCAAAATCCCATGAATACTCTGGTGATGATTCTAGCCTAACCTTCAACATAAAATAATGAAGAGAACTTTTAAACTCTTTTATGAATTCCTAAACATTACTATTTATGTGGCGGAAGTTCTGTTTCCTATAATCTGCAATGCTGAAGTATCTCTATTCAATTCCCTTCCTTATCTGTTAAGTTTAATGTCTGTATACTAAAATTATAGGCTGTTGGGATTGGAGAGGAAAAATAGAGGTGATTTTCAGATTTCTTGTTCCATGGAAAAGGAAGCCGAGCTCAGAGAGATATGAGCTCCTCAGCCACAGCTGGTTAGGGGCAGCTGCCATTAGAACAGGGCAGATGCCTGGACTCCCAACTCAGTAGACCTTCTGTTACACCCCAAAATGTGTTACATGGGAAGAGAAAGATTACTTTTAAGAAAAAGCAAGATAATTTTGAAGAAGAATGAGAGGAAGAGGCATGAACTTGTCCTAACAATATCAAATAATATTTTAAAGGTATACCAGTTAAAGCAGTGCGTGGCTGGTGCCAGTAGAGGTCAGTCAAGGGATCTCTGATGAGAATAAAGAGCCCGGAAACAGGTCCATGTTTACATGGGAACTTGATTTTTGACAGATACGGCAAGTTCTATGGGGAAAACAATATGTACTACCTTATACCCTTCCCCAAAAACAAAGGGATTAAAGACCTAAATATGAAAACAAAACTTCTAAATGAGAATCTATAAGGTTATTTTCATGGTTTTGCAAATGGGAAGGATTTCTTTAAAGCAAGACACAAAAGCATACACAGGAAAAAATGACGCATAAAATCATGGCTTCTATAGAACAATAGACACTGTAAAAGAACAAGCTACAGACAGGAAGGAAATGTTTGCAATGCTTATAACTGTCAAAGGATTAGTATCTGGAATACTTTTAAAAAACAAAATAACCTCATACAAAAGTCATTGAGAAAATGACAGCCATGCATTAGAACAGCAATTCTCAAAACTTTTGGTCTCAAGATCCCTTTACACTCTTCAAAAGTGAGAACCCCAAAGAGTTTTCGTGTATGTGGGTTAAATCTATTGATATTTTCTGTTAGAATTTAAAAGTTATATTAAGAAAAACATTAAGAAGAATGATTAGTTTTCAAAACAAAAACCTAACGAGAAGAGTGGCGTTGTTCTACATTTTTACAAATCTCTTTAACATTTAGCTTAATAAAAGATAGCTGGCCTCTCATACCTGCTTCTGCAGTCTATTGCTGTGTGTTTTGGTTGAAGTATGTGAAGGAGAAAATCAGCCTCACATAGATAGGTAATTGTTTAAAAAAAAGGGACCGGCCGGGTGCGGTGGCTCAAGCCTGTAATCCCAGCACTTTGGGAGACGGAGACGGGCGGATCATGAGGTCAGAAGATCGAGACCATCCTGGCTAACACAGTGAAACCCCGTCTCTACTAAAAAATACAAAAAACTAGCCGGGCGAGGTGGCAGGCGCCTGTAGTCCCAGCTACTTGGGAGGCTGAGGCAGGAGAATGGCGTGAACCCGGGAGGCGGAGCTTGCAGTGAGCCGAGATCCGGCCACTGCACTCCAGCCTGGGCGACAGAGCGAGACTCCGTCTCAAAAAAAAAAACAACAACAAAAAAAAAAGGGACCTTGCAGACCCACTGAATGGGTCTCAGGGGACCCCTAGGGTCCTTGGACCACACTTAAAATTGCTGTATTGGAAAAATGGATGAACTATATGAACAGAAAAAGCCTGAATAGAAAAAAAAAAAAAAATGTGGAAAGATTATTACTGTCCTGATAATCAGTGAAATGTGACCTGATTTTTTCATGCTTTCAGATTAGCAAAAGGTAAAAAGTCACAAGATCTAGTGTTGGTAAGAATGGAGCAATAGGAACACGTTCACTTCTTTTGGAGTAAAAACAGGTTCAATTTGATGATGTCTAAGAAAGTGAGGTTTGCATACTCTATGACCCAACAATTCTAGGTATACACTTAAGAGTCTCACTTCCCAAAGTGTGGGCCACAGAGCAGCAGCATGGGCTTCACCTGGACGCTTGCAACTCTCAGGTTCTGACATGGTCTTGCTGCACCAGACTCGGTGGTTAAGATTTCTTAGGTGACTCATGCTCATGAAACCTTGAGAAGCAATCTTCTAGAGAACCATGTACACGTGTATGAGGAAATGTACAAGAAGGCTCACAGCTGAATTGTTTGTTTCCAGGAAAAGTTGGAAATAACCTAAATGCTCATGAGCAAGAAAATGGGTAAGTAAATTGTGGCCTATTTATAGATGGTAAACAATTGAGCAGTTAAAATGAATGAACTTGATCTGTAATGTGGGTGGCCCTTGAAAAAATAGTGAATGAAAATAAGCTGTCACAGGAGATGAAATGCATGCCATTTATACAGTTTTTTAAGAAACTATGTTGATTGTTATTTATAGAGAGAAAGTATAGAAACATAATGAGAAAGCAGTTGCCCTGAACTCAGAGGAGAGTAGAACTGCTTGTGGCTGCAAAAGGGGTCTCTTCTGTTTCTTTCTTTCTTTTTTTTTCCAAAAATCCGAAGGAAGATGTAAGCATTTGTGAAATTCTGGATGGTGGGTCCCTGGGGATTTGTT